TGTGTATAAGAGACAGGCGGTACGCAGTGAGCAGTGGCGCGGTGAGAACTAAAACCCGCCTTTTCCAACACTGCTCACGGGCTGCTGCGTGCATCGGCTCGGGGGTGCTCCTGGTGCTCAGGGACTCGCCGGGAGCGAGTAATGCGTCCCCGCGGCGGCGACAAACAACCGATGGGGCTGAGCGAGTGACAGCAGCCGCCGAGCCCGGTGTGACTCCGTCCCGCTGCTCAGCAGTCGTGAGACTGCATCTGGAGTTACGTGTCCGGCTCTGTCCCACGCCAACTTCCCCAGTACAAGAGCACAGACAGGTCGCCAGCACAGGGCCACTGCAATGGTCTGGGGGCTGCAGCACAGGACATGAGAGGCTGGCAGAGCTGGGTTTGCTTCGTGGGGAGAACACCAGGCCGAAGGGGACTGAATGGAGGTCTTACATAAACTGAAGCGAAGAATATGGAGGCAAATTCTGGGAGATGCATGGCAAAAAGCGGGAAGGAAAAGGGCACACGTCAAAACAAGGAAAATGCCAAATGAATATGTAGAGAAAAAGCTGCCTAATATGGCTGGTTAACCACTGGAGTAGGTTCCCAGAGCGACACTGTTATCTCCGTCCTCGGGGACTTGATTACACAAGCCCCTGAGCAGCATGATCTAAATACGATCTTTGAGGTGGAGGTTGGACTAGATGACATCCAGAAGTCCCTTACAACCTAAATTTTTTTATGAGTCTATATTGATTTTTGCAGATCTAGAATGTGAAACAAAGTGTGTTTTCTACAAAACCAGCATTGCTTCTTTAGATAGTTTATATCATTTATCTATTAGGGAAAACAAATTTGTCAGAGCCGCCTTCTATTTTGGAGCACACATTGCTGCAGTTACACCCATATTTTAGAAACTGGCAGCAAAATTGTGAGCAAGCGTCAGAGGAAAATCTGCCAGTCAGATAAGCATGGCTAAGGTCACATAAAGACAATTGTTTGGGTACCATTAGGAGAAAATTTTAATTGCTGCTAATTATGCAAATTTAGACCTGATGTTTGGATAGAGGACCTTGCTGTGGAGCATGGGCCAAATAGACCTTCCAGGAATTTTGCAAATAAACCAAATTGGAATAAACTTGGGATGTTTGCTATAGATGCTATACCTTGAATCTAATGACATCAGTAAAATTCTACAGTTCCTCATTCTGCATGCCACTCACTTTATTAGTATTGGTAATACCTTTACTCTGTTGCACACTCATAACTCAGTTCTGCAGTTCATTTCCCCAAGGCTGGAAAATATTCTATCACTTTTTGGTCTTTGTATTCTCTTTTTACATGAGATATAAAGGGAATATTGATGATGTCCCATGAAAATAGCTGGAATGCTGTTACCCAGACTCCACAGAACTCTAAGGTTATGGAACCTATGAACCTTAGATTCATAGTCTTTGAACAGTTCCAGTTTCCTAACATGGTTTATGAAATAGCTGTCAGCACATAACATAGATCATGAGAAATAATACCAGTACAGGGCAGAGGGACACTCTTCTGTGAGCCCACATCCCCATGTCATCTCAACTAGACATGTCATACCTGCAAAGAAATCAGACCCTAAGAGTCAGATTTCTGCACAACAGTTGTAGCTTCAGGGAAATGGGAGATACATCTGGTAGGCTTGCATTCTCAGACTACCATTCTTTATACAGTCTAGCTGACCTGGGAAAGAAACTTGCGATTCACACATGAAACCGCTGATGTATACATATGAGCATACTGCAGTGATGTCTTACAGTGTAAGAGAAAGAGGCAGCTTTGGTCAAAGATCCATCAGTGCCAGGGATCTTCGGGAAAGTGGCTATAAATCTGAGATTCATGCTGGAGTTGATTGATTGTTGAAGATATGGATTACCTTGTGAGGCCCTCCTATGAGCAAATACAAGTGTCTGTAATAAATATGAGAATAGCAATTAACTAGAAGACAGGCTCTTTAAAAACAAGGAACAAACCTGTTGGGTGGTTTTGGCACATATTTCCATAGGTAGGACTTTAAAATTCCCCAGGCAAAATCTTGCAGCAAGGGAAAATCATCCTGGAACTGAAGATGAGAATAAAATAGAAGCAGATGCAAATTCATCAATTCCTGGGGAATATGGACTCAATGTGTTTTGGAGAAGATAACTTCTCAGAGCTATTTTGTTCAGATTAGATTATAAATTTTAATTAAAATAGTATTTATTTAGGTTTATATAGTCCTTTCAATTTAAGGATGTAAATGCATTTTATAAAACATCCTCAGTGAACATGTGTTATGGTTTAACCCCAGCTGGCAATTAAGCACCACACAGCCACTCACTCCTCCCTGCTCCCAGTGGGACAGGGAGGAGAATCAGAAAAAAAGTAAAACTCGTGAGTTAAGAGTAGTTTAATAACTAAAATAGAATAAAACATAATAATAGCTATAATGCTAATAATGATGACATTGTAATTGTAATGAAAAAGAATATAACAAAAAGAAATAAAACCCAGAAGACAAGTGATGCATGAGGCGATTGCTCACCACCCACTGGCTGATGCCCGAACAGCAGTCCGCCCCTCCTGGCCCACTCCCCCCAGTTCATATACTGGGCAAGATGTCCTATGGTATGGAATATCCTCTGGCTACTTGGGGTCAGCTCTCCTGGCCATGCTCCCTCCCAGCTTCTCATGCACCTGCTCACTGGCAGAGCATGGGAAACTGAAAAATCATATACTTAGGATAAGTGCTACTTAGCAACAACTAAAACATCAGTGGGCTATCAACGTTATTCTCCCACTGAATCCAAATCACAGCACTGTACCAGCTACTGGGAAGAAAATTAACTCTATCTCAGCTGAAACCAGGACAATGTGACCACAACACCCAAGCAGAACCTAGCAGAACTATTCTATCATTTTATTTACAAAAGATAATGTCGAAAGTGATCTAGTTCTATGCTGTACACTGGTTACTGCTGCAAGAGTGGGACATTGCAAAATTAAAAGTCTGTGTAGCAACGAATACCCAAATCAATAGTGGAAGAAGGTAGGAATATGCTGAAAAAAGCATCATCTTGCAGTTGCCACGTTGATAGACTTCTGTGAGCGTTGTCACTAATTTCTCCGGCACAGGCAGGTTCCTCTCCTATGAGCACTTGGATATGATCCAGAGAAGCAGTTGCTACCCCTCAAAGAACTGAGTTGCAGGATTATTTGTATCTAGTGAGAAGGAAATGAGATTGCCAGGTAGGAGACCTGAATTCAGTTCTCCAGTCTGACTGTGTTGTTTTTGAAGACTAAGTTATGCCTGATCAAAACAGAAGGCATTTGTTTTTAGTCATTCAATTTAATTACACAGTAGGCATTAATTTTAATTACACAGTGCCAATGTGTAGCAATAGGTGCTGTGTATTTCTTTTAAGGCATATTTTAGTCAAAACATATCAGAGTTTAAACACAAGGTATCTTGGCAGACAAAATGAAATTATAAGGGATACAAATATTGTTAAAAATTGAAACCTTGTTAGACTTACCAGATGTCAATATGGTTTTAACCATTTCCATACACAAATGTACATCTCTTTCAGTGGGAACTCATACTTTTCAACTGGTGGAGATCTCAAATTACAATTTTGTAGTAGCCTCCTATGTGTGCTCATGTCTCTGTGCATGTATAGAGTGTACTTCTCACATTTTATTTTTTATATTTCTGTTTTAGATTTTAAGAGGACCATGTAGGGATGACTTATTTCAGTGCCAAGTATCTATCATTTTTTAAAGATAATTTGGAATTTGATACCAAGAGGGTAAACTATTTTCATGAGCTATTTCTCACACAGCGTTAACATTAATTGTTCCTTTTATCTTCTAATCTTTCAATAGACAAGTAATTTGATGAACATTAATAGTTGGCTGGCAGCCAAACCCCACGCAGCCACTCACTCACCCTCCACTGCCCAGGGGATGGGGAGATGGGGAAGGGAATTGGAGGGGTAAAGATGAGAAGACTCATAGGTTGAGATGAAAACAGTTTAATAATTGAAATAAAATAAAGACAAATATTATAATAATAATAATAATAATAATAATAATAATAATAATAATAATAATAATAATAATAATAACAACAAATGAGTTATGCACAATGCAATTTCTTACCACCCACCGACCAATGCCCAGCCCGTTCCCAGCCAGTGATCCCAGAGGAGGGAAAATGCTGAAATGACAATCCCAGGAGAGAGAGAGCCCCAGCCTCCTGGCCAGCCTTCATCTATACACTGAGCGTGACATTACATGATATGGAATATTCTGTTGGGCAGTTTGGGTCCAGTACTCTGGCTGTGCTCCCTCCCAGCTTCTTGTGTACCTGCACACTAGCAGGACATAGGAAGTTGAAAAATCCTTGATTTCTTAGCAACAATTAAAAAAACAGTATATTATCAACATTGTTCTCATACCAAGTCCCGTACTGAAGCCAAAACAGTGTTATTCTAGCTGCTTAGAAGGAAAATTAGCTCTATCCCAGCCAAACCTGAGACATACTTAATGAATGAGCAAAAGTGAATATGTGTGTGTACTATTTAAACTTGGCATTTCCAGATTAACTCATTCTGGTGGAGGGAATGCATGAGCTGAAACTTTCAAGTGTATTCTTACACTTCATATTTAGGAACTTAAGCCATGCCAGCTGTTAGAAGGCTGGTCCTCTAGCATCCCTGATAGCAGTGGAAAGCAATCTGCAGAATTCAAGACCTCCTCTAGAACTATTCATAGATGTCTACATGCTTCTATATTAATATCTTAGGATTAGAAATACATTTTTAAAGTGACTTTCAGTCTTCTTCATTTATTGTGCTCACACAAAGTGCATCACAAAGTGGCCTCACAGAGAATGTAACGGAGTCCTTTTAGATGATGGAATGAAGCCAAAATGTGCACCTACACTAACATTTCTTTTACTGAGTGCCACATTTTCTGAAAATAATATGGGAAAATAAACATGTATAGATGGCAGGATCCACTTGCTAATTGCACTCCTCCTTTAATATGATACACAGTATTTGATGCAGAAGCCCAGAATTCCCATTATCCACTAGATGTCACCATTGACACAGAAAAATTCGTGAGAATATATTTTCTGCCTCTTAAAAGCGAGGTTGGCTTTACCACACCTTAATCAAAGTAGAACTCCAGTCCAAGGAATTTGTTATGTTCTCTTAAAACTGTGTGTCCTCTGACCTTCTTTATTAACTGGAAAACATTGAAAATGTTTCACAGGAAACCACACCTGGAATATTCTCTTGAGGCTTGGCCCCACGTAGTAGTAGGCTTCTCCACTCCAGAGCCATATGAATTGCCTATTCAGTAAAATAAACTGATAAATCCTGTTAAGAACCTTGCTAATTGAAAGTTTAAAATAGGCAGTAGTCTGTTTTCCTATTATTATCTACTATAGCTATCACATCAGAAAAGCCCAACTTTCCCTGTCTTTATTATTAACACAGTTACACTAAGATTATAGATAAAAATGAAGGGAGATTAAAAATATTCAGGCAGCTTTATTTGCCTAGGTTTAGCTGTTCTGTGTTTGAATGTTCTTTAATTGTACCAGAAGTATTCTTTGTTATAGTCACAATTTTTAGAACAGTTTTCAGTTTTGTTTAGGTTGCTGTTTCATGCATTAATACATTTTAAAGTCAGAAAAGGCAATTTTCAAGAGGTTAGACTTCTTGACAACTCTAACTCACCTTTGCATGAGCATGTTTCAGCAGTGTACACTAATAACTGTGGCTGAGTGTGCTGCTTTTTTATTTCCTTGGGGATCACCTAAATTACTATCCATTTTGGCTAGAAGTGATCTTGCATATGAAAGTAGAAAAAAGATCATAATCGCTGTGAATCTGAGCAATTGTTTGTGAAAGGCCATTGGATTAGACCATACCTGTAGTCCTAAAGAAGGCACATTTTATTGACTTCTGCAGATACTAGTCCTGCAGTGAAAAAGTTGTCTGAATGAATTTTGCTACTTTTATATTCTGTCTCTGCATTTTGCCTTTTTTTCTCCTAGTTTTGAGTCCCTTCACTGCAGTTTTACCTGTATGCTACTTGAGACCAAAGCCAACTTATCTCTGAACCTTGTATGATACACTGAAATAAACTGAATAGAAGTCTATTCCTTTAACACATTTTCCCAATTTATTAAAATGCAGATATATTAGCATTTAATGTTGAATACTTTAAATACAACTATTAACATTCAGCTGTTTAATTCAGAGAGATAAAACTGACAGGATAATATTTTGCATTTAGTTAGTGTATTATATAAAAAAAAATTATGAGCATCATACAAACATTATCCTAAGTGTTGCACTGTTACTGTAAGTCTCGTCATATTCACTTTACAAAGTAGGCACACATGGCACAGAGGGACTCTAAGTAGCTCAAGATCATTATTAATTAAGAACATAAAATGGAGAATTTCTCCTCCAACCATTAAACTACCATCTTTCACTTCTGATGTAAAAAAGATATTACACAGAACATCCCCTCAACTCATCCCTCCAAACTCCTGACAGTACTCAGTTGAAGGAGTTCCAGTTCCTTCAGAACTTGGTTGTTAAGCTGACTGAGCAATTTCAGAAGCAAGAAAGCATTCAGGACGTGGTAAATTCATCAGCACAAGAAAATGAACAGGAGGACATTCTTTTTACATTGAACCTTCAGGAGGGCTGTCTAATAATCCTTCCCAAAATGTATGGAGACTTACATAAACTCACCATTATGTGCAAACGTGACTTTAGCTGTTGAAGTCATCTGGTTCTGGGATTTCTTCTTAAAACTAACATACTACACAGTATTTGCTCAAAATGTTTCTCTCAGTTTCATAGTAGAAGAATAGGAAACAATGCTTTACTGGTGTTCCACAAACACTGCAGTATGTAGTCTTGAGATACTTGGCTAATATAGGACCGGAGATCTCCTCTGCCACAACTCTCCTCTCTGCTTCCCAATCAGTCCACCCTTTTTTTTTTTTTTTTCCTTTGGTGTAATTGTTCTGTGAAGTTGTAAGCTTCCTGATAAGTTAGCTCATGCAATATATGCCCCTATGTACTTTTTACTGAGGAACTGTTTTCTTCCATTGGGAACAAATCTATATGTGACTGCGCTTACAAAGAGGGGATTGATTCCTGTTGTATAAGACAGCATGTCTGCTTTCAAGAATTAGTTAGTACTTAGAAACAGTTAAATCAGTGACTGAGAAAGTGAGTGCTCAAAGTTTGTAGAATGAACCTTAGCAGCAAACTTCTCTGTCAAGGCTCCCTCCCAGCTTTTCCAGATGAAGCTGTTTTTACAGATGCTTGTGGATGAGGCCCTGGGCAACATGATGTAATATCAAAGCCAGCCCAGCTTTGAGTTGCAGGTTGTACTTAGATGTCCTCTAAAGATCCCTTCCAACCTATTCTATTATCATGCATTTCTCCTATTTTACAGCAGGATTAATAAAATGCAATTAAATATAAATGATAGAAAAACATACATCATGTATTTTATTTTTGGTTTTGCAAACTTGAATTGTTGCTCCTGAGTTTGCCTCATTATAGTAGGAAGAGTTTGCCTACAACAAGGTAAGGATATATGGATGAGTACTACCACTGCATGCTTAGGTTATTTGTCAACTTGTAGGATGAAGAAAATATGTGTAGTCTATAATCAAGTATATTCTCTAAGTCTAGAAACAACAGCATACCCTTCCTGAATAAGTAGAGATAGTATGTTACGTATGGAAAGTCTTAGCAAAATTTCTAGGACATAAAAATACTGTTTTTTTTCAGTGAAGTGAATATGTACAGGTATAAATGAAGCAAGCATGATATCAAAGAGATACGTTAAGTTACAATATGAATTGACATTTCAAAAAAGTTGATGATTTAGGGGAAGCTATAAATAAATAGGGTAGATATTTTTAAACAGTTGAAGCTTCTTTCTTTGACTATGCAAAGTACCTTCACTTGCAGATCTTACTTCACAAGCAGTGTGTTTCATGTTTAATGGAGTAAATTGAAAGAGAAAAATATATTAGGCCAATCACAGAAATGTTATTCTATTTCTTTCTTTTTTTGTTTCTGTAATTTATAATCACTGAAGATCTACATTTATGTCTCCAGTTTTTGTTCTACATGATGAAAGATGTAATCTCAAATTGTAAAATGTGTACAAGAGTGTAACAGTTCTGAGATTGCCCCTGAGTTTTTCAGATTCCTGAATTATTTCTTCTTCAAATGTGTTAAAGCTGTTAAATGCATGTCTCCCACCTTTACTAACACTTGTTTATAAATTACAGTTTTCCAAAGTCTTCTACTTTACCTATGGTGTTTGTCTTTGAAACTGGAACATTTTGTTTGGTTGAACTCTTGAGCTGCTTTTTAGCCCCAAAAAATCAGACCATTATCAGTGAATGTGAAGAATCTTTTTGAATGTCTTCTTGAAATTCTGGTTACAAAGAGGATACAGAAATGGATTTAAGGTGGAGTTCACATAGCCAAGCCATATAGTGAACATGTGTAATTTTGAAAATTGTTCATGGCCATGGAAAGCTATGACCATAAATAATACAAAATAGGGAATCCAGCACACCATAAAGGCTCCCATTATGACCCCTAACTGCTTCGCTGCTTTCCTTTCCCTGTTCCCATGCAGTCCTTGAATGTGCCTTTTGGAATGGGTATGCAGACTTTGCCAGGTTTTCCTCAGGTAAGTCAGTCCTCTGAAATCCCTGTTCTCAGTCTTTTCCTGAGGACTGCTGGCTCTTTCAGGCTCAGGACTGGAGTGCTCTTTACAGGGTATCTCCTCTGTGAAAGTATGGTTGTCTGATGCATCACTTAAGTCACTGTCTTGTGAGCAAAGCTCCTCTTCATTTTCATTCTCTTCTGTCACACATGCACACTTCTTTCCTCCTTTATCCAGGCCTGGCTCAGACTGGGCAGTGGTGTGAGGAAAACAGCTCCATTTAAGGACTTTCCTATTATTCTTGCTAACGAATGCCTTTGAAGACTTGTCAGGATTACTGTACTGAAGCTTTGCCTCCATATTTTTGGGCTGAGGGGAGATTTCCTTGTCCTTGGGAAGGGTGTCCTCATCTATAATTTGCTTTTGGAGGCAAATATTTTGCTTTTCCTTCATCTTACTACAATTTATGGGGGATTTTTCTGAGAAAGACCGATATGATCCATTGTTGAGCTCTCGGTGTTGACAGTGTTTTCGAACAGCTCTGAATATTTTGTAGTAGAACCATAGCATCATGACAGAGGGTAGATAGAAATTGACAATGGCTGTTAACACTTTAAACCACGTGACTTCAGAGAATTCAGTTTCACATTTGTTTTCCTTTACTTCCCTTTCTCCATTATTAGCAAAAACATGCCATCCTAGGATTGGAATGACCCACGTGAAAGAGAGTAACCAAACCCCCAAAATCATTAGCAATGCTCTCATTTTTGTTCTATACTTGAGATATTTCAGTGGTTGCTGAACTGAACGATAACGGTCAATGCACAATATGAAGAGATTGAAAATGGATGCAGTACTGGCCACATAATCCATTGACAGCCAGAACAAACAGACTGGTAAGCCTAGAGTCCACACACGATTTAGGAGATAAACAATATTCAGGGGCATAACAGCTGCACCCACTATAAGATCTGCAATAGAGAGACTGACAATGTATAAATTGCCAACTGTTTGCAGCTTCTTTTCAGTTTTCACAGCACATAGCACTAATATATTCATGACAATAGTGATCAGCGAAACGCTTCCCAGGAACACACCTAGAAGAGCTGAGTGAGAGATAGTTGAGTTCTCTGTGTTTTTTAACATCTTTTGCACAAGAACACAGAATGAAAATCAGAGAAGATGTCCAGGCCTTGGAAATTCAGTCTTGGATTATAATCCTGGATGAAAACGTGTTGGATTGCTTTGTGATATTTATTTCCAGAACTATAGAAAAGAAAAGAAATATGCTCAATCACTGTAGCACTAAAATAAAGTAATAAAACTAGTTTGTGCTTTGGCTTAGCACTGTCCCGTTTAGAACTTTCCTAAATACTGAATTTTTACATTTTACATATGGGTAATTTGTGTTCTATGAAGAGTACTGGAGCAAGCAAACCATCCAAAATGGTTTGCAGAAAATTTCATGGGCCTTCATATAATTCTGACTGCAGAACCTGGAGAAGAAATTTCAGTCCTCACTGTTTTAAATTATTATATCTCATTAAATACCGGATCATGAATCATAACATAAACTACATATTGTCAAACCAATTTAAAGGGGGTTAATAAAAAGCAAATTAACATGTTTTATACTAAACAGTTTTAAACAAACCAGTGACTATTTACAAACTACATCTAATAGTTTGAGAATACAGCAGCTGGATTTAATTATTCACAAGTAATAGCGGATCATATGATGTCAAGTGACGAGGTATTCCAAACAATAAAAAGTCTCCAGCCAGCATACACCTTTAGCTGATACAGAGTCTCAAGAAGCGCCTAAGGTTGCAGCCAGTGCCTGTGTTTGCACTGATAGGCAGTCGTTCAAATTATAAGTAATCAGTAATCTCTTCCTACTGAGTAATCTCTTCCTACTTCCTACAAAGGTGGCAGCCCTATTTTTTTTTCAAATACAAACTAATAACAGTTCAGGGAAAATACTAGGATTTTTCAGGATTAATATGCATTTTACAACCTCTCACATGTACATAAATATAGGAGCTTTTAGGCTGAAGTTTACTAGTCGTTCAGGTGCCTAAGAACCTGGAGAAGGCATGTCACTCCTGCATGCTTGCTGTTGCTGTTTGCTGCATTAAAATGGAAAGTAAATTGGAAATAAGAGGAGTTGAGACTAACACATAGCAAACCTTTTCTTTATGCCTAAGATTTTTTTAATAATTAATCTTTAATACATGAGTTATCTTTATTTGCTCTGAACTTTGGTATGAGCCATGTGTAGAGCCAAGCCTTCAGAATGAAAATTCTTTAAATTCTTCTATATCCCATGACCAGAGTGCCTAGGAATTCCAATACATGCACTACAGTTTATAAAACAAAAGGACAACTTACTACTCACCATGGCATATACAAAACTTATTTTACAGTGGGCCACATTTCCCCAGTTAGGCTTGTTTTCTAGTCACATTCATTTCTACATGCTATTTTGCAGGTGTTATCAAAGAGTGGCAGATTTCATTTGTACATACATGGTGATGTGGAGCTTTATGGTGACTTGATCTGCATTGGGAAACAACTATAGGTGCATACTGCGCTTGTGAACATAGAGGTTATGTATTGAGATCATAGGCCTTAATTATAAAACGTGTTATTTCTTCCATTTTCTAACACAAGTGTAGTAACTCAAATATGGGCAATAAAAGGGGAAAGGAAGGGAGGGAATGTAGACATAAGAAAAGCACCTTTTCAAAGTTGAGTAGATATGCTATTCCATTATCTAGAAATTCTCTGTGACTTTGGTATCTTCCACTTCCAAACTGCTCACTTCATGAGTTAACCTAAAGTCTGAAAAATGGTTAATATTTTAAGTCTTGGAGCATATGATCAGTTGACCAAATCTGTCTCCAGGATATATAAGAAAAATGACTGTGAGGGTGATACATATTTTCTGCCATTTTTCTCTTATAACGCTTCGCTGAGTTTATGTTCTGGTAAATCTCTTAAAGCAATGAGGAAGGAAACTGAGACTGCAGACATATTAGCTCAGAGTATTTACACAACTAACACTGAGAGAGATGTACAGAAGTTCTCATCCTTGTTGTTCTAAACGTGGTCAAAACAATAAAATGCAACAGATTATGCAATAGTCAATATTTCATACTGAAATTCAGTAAATCATATGTCATGCTAACTTTATCTCTTTCTTATTCCAGTAATCAGGGTTGAAACTAAAATGTTTGTGTTTTTTCTTACAAGAGGTCAAATTCCTTCTTCCTTAAGCTTTACTTACAAGCGCCTGGTGTTATGAAAGAAGATGTGTGCTTGGTAGCAGTAGCATCCATATGCAGAGGAAATACATACACCATAGGATATGAGCTCAAGAGCAGTATTCTGTAATTCTGTGTTCTACACAGCCTTCAGGTTCTGTCATGTTTAGTTCTTCAGTGACAGCTAGTCACAGATGTCAGAAGATCAGAGGTCTCAAGCATCTCCTGTTTGAGAATGAGAACAGAAATTATTCCATGGATCCTAAACCAGTGTGTCTGGTGATGGGAAATGGTTCTATCCCAGTCTGTCATTTCCCTTTCACAGCTATACACTGTAACCTCTCTGCTGGAGTCAAGTACATGGGACATGGACATGGTCAAGTCAAGAAGTTGATGTTAATTGCTTCAGAGACCTCATAAAGAAATGACTGATCTTCACCCCCACATATTTTCATTTAAATTTATGGCACAGTAACTGGAGAAAAGGCAACCTTAAATGAGCCTTCAACCAAAAGAATAACAGCAAAGAAAGGTATCTGATTAGACAGCTCTCCTCGGTTATTTATGAACTGCATATGGAATAAAACGTAGAGCAGGATTACAGTAAATGGTGTTGACTGCTTCCCAAACTTTCTCTCTAGCGCTGCTGCAGTGAGATAGGGTGGGATTAGGGAGCAGCCTATCAAGCGGAGCTTGATCTGGAGTACGTCTGCTCTAAAGGAGGCATGAAGGTCTGGTTTTTCAGATCACGCTCCACTTCTATTAAAATGTCTTTAATCCAATGACAAAGCTTGATTACTTTTCTGTTTTGGAAGAGCTTATACAGGCGATAACAATCCAAGAATGACGTCAAGAGATGCAAATCATTTGAGAACACTAAAAACAGGAAAAAAATCAGGGAAATGCATTTGCTCTTTTAAAAATACTCATGCTAACAGGTACTCCATATTTGTAATAATTCTAACTTATAATGTAATTTTTATCACAATGTCATTTGAGAAGTTCATGGTCCCTGATAGATTTTATCTTCTCTGCTTTATAGATAGCTAGCCATGTACTATTAAATTTTAAAGTGAAATTGAGGAACAGGTCAAAGTGATCTGCTAAACATCATACAGTAAATTTAGATCTAAAACCAGCCAAGGCTCCCTTGCTCTCCAAAAAGTGTCCTGACTACTATATTGTTTTTTTCTGTCTAGACTTTGGGTCTGTATTCATTCAGAGATCCCAGACAAGCAATGTTGATTTAGAAATTAAGTATATCTTTTTTGTTTTGTTTTAACTTTAATGCAGTGCAAGCAACTTAGTCTTGCTTTGACCTTCTGACGTCTTCTGTTGTAATAAGTCCACTTACATGATAAGGTCTAATATGTCTGGATGGGACTATACCCAGTAACAAACATCTACAGTATTAATCAGTGGAACAGGCTTGCAAGAACCATTTGCCCTAGTCTAGAGTGAGTAGATCTTGAGGCTGGATTAGGATATTAAAACTTTACAGGAACACTGCATTTTCCCTATTGAACAATTTGTGGTTCTCACATATGATCTTTTACAACCTGGACTTTGTGAGTATTCTTCCACCAAAGACAGTATTGTAAGGCTCTGAGTAGTTTATGTTTTGGAGTGTTTTGATGAGAAAAGAAGTCCCTCTGCCACTCTAAGAGGTAAGTGGAAGAGTCTCCATACCTTCAGCGTGGAAGTTGTATACACAACACATACTTCCTACCTATCTACTTTTATTGGAAACCAAATCATACCTCTGAATCTATTAAAAAGATGTACCAAGGACATGAGTTAGCCACAAAATCCTTACAATAGAGCAGAAATGCAGTGTTGCCTTTGCACGATCTAGTCCTTGCAACTGTCTCTTTGCATTCCCTAGCACATGACACCATGTGCTGCTGCTGCTTCTGCCTGAGATCTTTCAGATCGTGCAGAACTTCCCATAACAATAAGCTGTGATAGGCATTTAGCAGCATATCAGACATACTGCAGTCCCACGCTCATGTGTGTAAGGGTCCAAAGAAGGCTTCCAACACAGGAGTCTTTGCGGATCTGGCACCTGTCAGTGTCCATGCTCTTTCCATTAGGAGAAAACAATCAGCCTAAAGATCTTGGGTAGTTCTTCAGAATTTCTAAACCCTGACCTCACCACTAAATGCCTTCTTTAATTTTTACAGTCTGTAAAGAGCTTTTTCTACAAGGAAAATCAGCAGTCATGAAGTGTTTGTTATTGTATCACAGTGGTAATTCTTCCAAGGAACAAGAACCTACTGGGAGATGCTAAGTGGATGCCTTAATGACTCATTAGTGCAGGTGCAGCCTATTAAGCCCTGACTAAGTGGGAGTAAGTTTCTAGAAACAGATGCTGATATATCTCATACAGATACGTTTTAAAGAATCTAAAGCTACAACAGCGAAAGGCTAGGCTAGAACAAAACTCTTGCTCATCAGATTAAGTTCAGTGCAGAAAGTAAGATTTTATTTCAGATGACCCACGTTGACTATGTTGTACTTAAGAAACTTACTTGTTTCTAGTGATTTCTTTTTAGTTATCCTTTAGGTGTTGAAAGTATTAACACTCTAGATGTTTGATTAATTTTCCTTTCAAAGACTTATTTATTTCTCTGTAAGAAAACAATGCCTAGGCAACGCCTGCCAATATTAAAGGAATATTTTTTGATAAATAGTAAATGAAAAAACTTGATAACCTTTTTTTTTTTTTTTTTTCCTTTTTTTTTTTCTTTTTTTTTTTTTCTTTCCAGAAAAGTGTCTACCACTATCAAAGGAAAGACTGGATTTCATCTATGCTTGAGTTGTCTCTTCTTGGTCATCTGAAATGAAAAGTCTACATAATCTGAAGTTTTAGTGTCTGACCAGTCAAATTTTGTCACTCCTCCTAAATTGTCCTCTTCCTCCCACACACCTATTTTAAGGGCAGTAAGAGTTATAAATTAATCTTTTACTATGTGAACAAACAACCCAGCCTGTCTTATAAATACTTGCATTCCTTGTTTTTATTATGACACTTCCTTTGTGTGGAGATGCTCTTAACCAACAGATCTGGACATCGGGTTGTCTAGTTTTGCATAAACTTGTATTGCATGCATTTGGTGGCAGAGAATTTTAAGTGGTTCTTGAAGTAAATGCTATCTTGGGGAAAAATGAGGCCAGAACTAATGTAGCAGATGGATACTACCACAGATGTGCTGAAATCTAGACTAGACTGCAGAAAGAAAATTGCTGTCTGAGTTGTTGGATCGGTGATCTGCATACTGATTTTAGGAGTTGAATGCCCTGGGAAATGGTACAGGCCTTCAGTGTGCCAGAGATGCTGTTCCTGGGAAGGGTAAAGGCATGCAGACTGTTTCTGATGCCTTCTCCACACTGTCACTTCCAAGGAGAGTGGATGGTCCAGTGCTATAATTACTGCACTTCTTTTTTTTGCCTCCTGGTTCAGTCACTTGTCTAAATATAGTGAACAGGCTATATAGTTTAAGAGCAAGAACAAGGCAGAATAGAAGGAGCAATGCAGTTACATCCACACTATTAAGACATCAATTATCTCGAGGAACAAACATAACTAATTTTAAACTAACTGAAGACTCCTTGAATTCGTGTATCCATTTGTTCTGAAGGTGCAGGACACTGAACGGTCCTCTCAGCTTAGAGCAGCGAGTGGGGGACCACTTAATGCAGTATTGCAAAGGGACCAGAGCAAGGTCATCACTTCTGCCCTTTATACAGAAGCTATAATGCCTGGCTGCTGTCTGGTCTGAGATGTCAAATTTATCCTTATTCCTCTAACTTGGATGGTGGTATTCTCAGGATAGCAAGTAGACGTGAACAACAAAACCACAGAATGCAGCACCAGTTGTGAAGGGAACTTGAAGATTTAAGTAACTTTGTGAAGTCTTTCAAGAAGAAAAAAGTATTTACAACTGTATGATACAGTGAATTTGTAACCCACTTGTGTAAGGATATTTTCTTTTCAGTCCAGCGATTCACTGTACTATTGCTATTTTCTATTTGTATATCTGGATATGGAGGTACAGGCTGTCAGAATTACAGACAAATACTTCTGCTTTTATTTAATTGAGGAAATATTACATCCGGTTTCCTTAGGTGAAGTATAATTCAAAGAGTAAAAAAATGTTTGGGCAGGCTGAAAGATTTGAAAATATAAGTCAAAGTTCAGCTTGGGGCTTGTAGATGATGCTTGACTTGATTATACTTGATATTTTCAGGTTTTAGTTTTTATAGAATCAGAGCAGTTGCTTCTACAGCCACATGTGCCAATCAAATTGGCAGGCTACATGCTGCTGTCAACACAGATTGTTATTATTACTGATCTTCATGCTTTTATTTGGCTGGGGATTTACTAGGAATGAAATTATCTACAGTTTTAGCTATCTGCCAGCAAAAAGCTTAGACCTTCTGAAATAAAGTTTTAGCATAAATAACAAAAACCATTATATACAGTCATGCTGTCCTTCTGATTTGCATACATGTATCCTGAGTCCTTAGCTTTTTATACCAACCACTGAACTTTGAGAGGAAATGGAGTACTGGAATCTGAGTCATCACTGCACTGTCCAAGCTCAAATCTTGATTAAGATGCTGTACCATGTCTGCTTGTAAAAAGACTTGTCTCCTTCAGAAATAACTGTCTCCTCTGGTGGTGTGACCATCCCCCTGCTCCCCCTTAACTGGTGTACTGTGCTCTTAATTGGATTAAGAATACTGTACTGGATCCTATCTTTAATCATCCTCTTGCTTTGCAGTCTGATATCCTTGGGTAACTACTAAGTGTAGGTGCTGCTGTTGGATATCTGGTTGGGTAGGCAAGGAAGGAAAACTAAGCTTTTTATTTTGTGCAGTGAGAACACACATGCTCCTTTTACCACTTATACATTTCTCAGGCATTATTGAAAACTACTGTTATATCATTAATATAGAACTTTGCCATTAAAAAACCCACAACCAAACAACCCCAAACAACTGTGTAGACAGTTATGTTTGTGATAATATAGTAGTGTACCTTTGCTGATCTCATACTCTTTCCACTTTAAAATAGCATGCTATGCTGCTCATACACGGGAGGAATGCGGTTAGTCCCAGAGTTAACTAGCATACAGGCTTCTCTGGCATGCAGGGTGGTCAGCCACTTTCCAACTTAATTGAGAAGTTAAATTATATGCTATTATGAATGCACAT